CATGAATACAGCTGCTTCAGCAGTACTTCATCCTGGCAAATTCCCCAGCAGTGAAAGAACACACCCGAATACATGATCTATAAATTATTGGGACAAAAACGGTGTAACAGTACTTGACGCTTTCGTTTGAATGCAATATCACTCAATCCAGAACCTTTGCAGCTTAATTTTAAAATGCAAGTAAATTTATAGGAAGATTACACCTACTTACTCTGAGCGCGATTTGGTAACTCCGAAGACTTCCGATAATCATTTCTACAAACAAGCGCTGAGAGTTTTTTATCGTCCCTCGAAAATTCGTTCAACCTTAAATCACTGTATTCATGTGACGTCAACCTAAGCCACTGTTGGATTAACACAAACTAAATTACGGAAAGTAAGCCCTGTAGCCCTTCCGGGATTGAAAGGCCAGTTGAAATGCCGCTGGTTATACAAACTCAAGATTACGGCTCGATGTAGTTGTATATCATTGGAGACTATCGTACAATACTCAGACAAAACGTTGATGATGATTGATAGCGAAGGTGGTCATCCCTATTAGACACATTTGGGATTTGGTCAAAATGGTCATTTGTGGGGGTTACTATACTAAGGTAGTCGATTTTATTCTTACTGTTATGAGGATACCGAACGTCATTTTACTTTAACAGCTCGGTTTCTACACGTCTTTTTCCATTTTCTTTACGCTGCCTTCCGTACTTGAGCCCACTTGATGTAAAAACTTCTAAAAGTGAAGTTGATCTCCTCTCCCTCTACAGCTGTTCCCTCTCCACTGTGAATCATCAGCAGTGCGTATCTCACGAAACTACAGGGAGCCTCAAACCCAGAACTACACTGCCAGTGATCTGATCACCTAGCGGCTCGGTCACTAGCAGCGAGATGCACACTGCCGATGACTTCCAATAAGGATGTTAAAGCTGTACAGGGTATCTCTGCCTTCAGCATAGATTGGCACGACTTTAACGAGAGGATCCCCATTAGAAATTGCTGAATCTCTTCACACTAGCAACCAAATATAGTTTCCTTACAATAAGGTATGAACGGTGAATGCTCATTGGAGGCTAGATGGATACTGCTTCCGATATCCCAATAAAAGAAGCATAGACGATTATTTCCATGGTTTTTAAAACGGAGCACTGCATTATACCTCTTACTCCTGGAAGCTATCTGTTTGGTTGTCTTCAGATTACTTAAATACTTGAAGAATAGTACCTATGGTATAATGTTCCTCAAATCATTGAGGCTGCCATATCAATCAACCTTCACACCCCACATTGTTAGGCGGCATAATAATGGTTCTAGACTGACAAAATTAAACTCAATTCACCTGGAATTAGATTTTCGGCGGTTGAGCCATCAGAATACTGGAGCGTTTTTTTGAGTATAACGAAGAGTGCCTCCTCAAAACCGGTTTAAAGGTAGATTTGAGATCAAACCTCCCCAAATTAGATGGTAATTGCTTGTGCCACGCTTTTATAGAGAGGATTTTACTTGGAACTGCATGCTAAAATGTGCAGTTCACTATGAGTCCTATAGTAAAGTTCTTGCAACGGGGTTTAAGAGGGGTGGATGCACCGGTTTTTGACCACGCGATTAATGCGGTCAAATATCCTTGAAGTTGGTGGCTTGAAACATGAATTTATTGCAAAATTTCTTTTATTGTCGGAATGATAAAGCCCCGTATCATCTATTGCACTAACTACTCAAAAGAACGGTTAAAGGGAGCCAAATTCAGAGAGATTACGCCAATGAGAATGCACTGATTTTGCATGAAATTCCTATGAATTAGTTTCACCAATGAACCATAAACAACATGGAGTCATGTCTCCCTGAATTGATGTCTGAAGTCTCCATAATATTTGGCCCTCAGGCCTCTCAGTTCCTAGCGTGGTAGCACAGTCTATACGGATAGAACATTGTAAGTAGCAAAACTAAATATGTTTCATCTATATCTGGAAACGACCATGCCCACACGGGATACGCGGGTGATTACAGACATTTTTATAGCCGATTTGACAGATGTTTTACCGTCATTATCAATGGCGAAAGCCAGTACATAAGCCAGTGTCCGGTTAGAGCGATCTCTACGTTCCACTGGACGAACGGAGAATTGACACGTGAAAGCTAACGGCGTTCCCAGTCTTATAAACTATCTTTCAGTAAGTAGGATTAGATCATAACAGTTTAATCAGTCATGAAGTTTGGTAAACCTATATTATTAGAAATCGTAAAGCTGGCCCAGATCTTGGCACTGGGGAAAAGTCAGAGATATGGGACTCAGAAAATTATTTTTTTGAACACAAAACTTGGCTGCCATCATCTGTTTCATCTATGTGCTTGATAGGGGCTTAGAGAATTCCGCAGCGAGATTGGAGTAATTTATCAACCGAACCTTGATACAAACTATCTTTGTTCAACATTGCCACAAAGGATTCTTCAAACTGGTTTCCCATAAATTCATGTTCACTTTTTTTAAAAGTTGATGATTATGCGTACTAGGTTAAGTTTGGTGCCACAAGAGAAATTTTCACGACTGCAAAGTGTTTTAAGGTGCATAAATAATCAGTGTAACTCCTGGTTGGAGCATCTCGGTCACGCCGTCTTTTGACTCATCAGAGTGCGTATTCTGTTCTTTTTTACTCCAGTAAATTGTTTAGTGCTATCAGCATATCTCACTCGGTGGATGGCGCGTGCCTTCAGAAATAGAACAATGAAGGTTTTGCTCGAATCTCGCAAAGTCGATAGAGTCGGCAGCTCCGGTGTAATCATAGTCTCTGTACAAGTCAGCTAAATAAACCGTTGCACCAGTGATTTCTCCATGTACATTTATCCACACTAAACGAAAGTAAGGATGCACTATGCTGGACTTTGTGAACAAGGACTACTCATAGAGAATAGCTCAACAAACCCCAACAGAAGGGTAAGCTCTGTACAAATAGATATTGCTGCAAGTTTATCAATGCCAAGTAACATCATGACAGCCTTTTCAGCTAGGCGGGGAAAACTGCTAATGTCTTTTCGGACATGCACTATGTCTTTAAGAAGGTTAGTTTCCGCGTCGACAAAAATAGGCCTCGTGATGTTGCATTACAATGGCCACTGGTATACAAGGACCATATCGTATGGTACCAAACTGGTCTCTGAGTAAAATCTCTGCAGGCAGGTCTAATTGATTAAAAATGTAGGCAGGGTTTTAGCACCGGTTTCACATATATCTTGTCTGCTTGCAGACTACGATGCAAAAAAGTCAATAAGTGCGCAGTACCACTCAGTGTAATGTGAATGACGAAGCACCAAACATGCTGAACGGCCTAAAATTCAAGATCGAGCTCATCTCACCTTGTTTGGTGGATCGTGGATGGTGGCACTGCATGTCCTAATCCCCCTTCAACGTGTCACAGGGGAAACGGAGGCGTGTGCCAAATGGCTTCATCACGTTTCACAGTATTATGGCCACTGATGCATCCAGGGTGGTTCGTTTAACGCGCTTATTTTCATTCCAAGTCGAGATCGGACAGACAGATAACCAACAGTGTGACCTAATGCGGCTGTCCGGTGGATAAATAACTGTCTGATTTGCAGGTCATACACCTAAAAGTGTTCTAGCTGGACGTCGAAACAGTATGAAATGTCGCCGGGGAGAGCGCAAGCTTAATCCTTGTCACCAGTAAATTATACACTGGAACGCCCCCTTCCTTTGTAAAATAGAGATCTTTCTAGTAAATGTTTGATTCATTCATGTGAAAAATTTGTTTTCACGCCCCCCTCTCATGCATCCGAGGATGTAACTTTCAGTCTATCCACTATAAAAATTGTCTCCTTCTCAATGCGCTAGTGTCCAGTCATATGATCTAACAATATCTAAAGATATATATCACGGCACAAATGGGTTTTTCTCTTTATGAAACCATGAGTCACTTGATTGCTATGCATGAACCAAGGCATTCAGATGTTAGCATACTTTCATCTTATTTTCCCCGACCGAAAGTTGAATTTCCCCACATTATGCACCGGAAAAAATGGCAACTGTAACTTTGGTGATGATTACAAAGAAAGTCATTGAATTTTTTAAAAAAAACTTACAACTGCGCACTTTAAATAAAAAGTATCTTATTGAATAAATGTATGCCTTTTGGATGTGTAGTTAAAAATTACTGGTAATCCCCAGTGGCTCGAATTGCGGGAACATGCAAAGCACTCTGTAGACACGGATGAAGCTCAACTCAATACTTAGGGGTTTTTGCAACCTTGGAATATTCACAACCTGAATGCACGTAACCTGTATTTTGATTTGCATCGCCGTTTCACACTGCATCTTTATTCCCTTAATCTGTGTCCAGGGATACACCCTGAAAATTTATTCATCATCGTGCCGAATTTGTTTTTGATGAATCAGCTGGTCATCGCAGCAACTCTGTAAAGAATAACATTTCTTCAGAAACCAAAAATAACTGTGGCCCACATGATACATGTTATGCGATATTCGTGGCCCACATCAAGACCTTAATTAGTAATATTGACCAAAAATTTGCCATTTGTTACTTGAACACGCCACCGATGAAACCACTTCACGTGTGCCCGTTCCAATGCGGCACCAGGCTAGTACCGATTGGGATCAGTGAATAACACCCTTGTCAGGAGGTAAACAAGCACTTTTTTGTTAAATCACAAATGAAATTTTTGTCACTTTGAAGTTTATTACAAGAAATCTGCGGCGGATTAGGAGTTGTGTTATAGAATGTGTTTGCACGCAAACTATCCAGCTATCAACAACTTGATGCTCACTTACTTACCCACAGACACCTGACCAGTTTCGTAGATTCGAAATTAAAAAATCCTGATACGCAATGGCTCATCAGAATGAGGAGGAACTTAAGATGATTAGCAGTCATATGCACCCTGCTGGAATCGAATGAAGCGTATTCAGGTATCACTTAATCATGTTATGGTGAGTAGTTCTACTGCTGTTTGAACACCAGTTAGAGTACAGTCAGGATAACTTACTGCAGTACTTTTTCACTTGGTTCAGCTGTTCATAATACCCGCTGACGTAGCCATCAGCATCGTAAAAGTTGCTAGGAAAGTGCGTATCACACCACAGCTTGGGATCAAACTCGAAATTCAGACGATTTTGGGCATTATTAAGATCGTTGATCACCTGAGCGCCACTATTCAAAGGTGACTTTATCCGGGTATCTATCGTATTCAAAGGTTTCCCGAACATTGGGTCCAGTCCGCGTTGATCTACCGTAGTGCCCGTGGAAAATGTTGAATGCAGGTGTTTTCTGAAGTTTTCTGAAGGTCTGTTGAAATTGACTAAGTTTTGGAAGTTGTCTAGAAATTTTTGGCGTCTGATATGCGAAGTTGCTGACCCATTCATGATGTCCGGGACCATGCGTAATAAGTGCTTCAATGTAGCAGGTGTTGAAATCATGTCAATCAGCTGACCGAAAGAAAAGTTTTTTGGATGTTCAGTGTGATGTTTTACCGTTTGTTCCATTTCTGCAACCTCATTGTGCCATGATCGCTTCACAGAATGGCCGTCAACGTTGTGTATATAATGGTTTGCCTGAAAAACCATGGGTGAACAACTGTTCACATGTTGATCCTTGTGTAAATTGTTCAGAATCTCGAGGTCATTTGGAATTGACAAGTGTTGAAAAGTGGGTTGGGAAGAATTTGTTCGATTTACAGAATCATCCTGTCTCGTGAGATTTGTATCGGTGGGATTAGCAAGAGTATTTTCGTTTGCTTCGGTTGTGCATGACTTGGTTGCAGTCTGGGGAATTGAACATTTTCCACGATTTACTAATTCGGCGACAGTAAAACCTGGCATTCTCTGTTGCGAGATAAGGTCCTGTGAAATGTGATTTGTACTAATGACCGCTACTTTCGCTCCAAATGGTTATTGTCCCTTGCAGTGTGAACTCGCTGTTTACCTACTCACCACAAAGACATGCCCGCCCACATCTTCTCGGGCGGGACGGTGTGAGAGAACGGATGGACTTAACCATCGTTAATGTCCACCGTCTATTTCCTATCCCCTGGAGGAGAGAGAAGTCAAATTGATTGGTCAAAGCACATGCTCAACAACCGGAAATCTGGAATCATTTTGTTCACTAATAGAATAGACAGTTGGAGCAGAATAACCAGTTGCTTCTCGGGGCTAGATTTGCGTGTATCCTGCTATTAAAACAATTGAGTCATGTCCGACGAATCACAAGTGAGAAATTGTTGCAAACTTTTGTGGTCCGCCCCAGCACAGGGTCAGTTCAGACAATCGGATTCTATAGCAGTCATAATGAAGGTTTGTACGTTTGCACGAGCACTACCAATAGTATAGTGTACACAATAACGCATCTCTTCACCGTGAGAATCCGCAAGAGGTGATCGTCCTCTAGATTTATTATGAATGCTAAAAATAAGTTCCGCAACATAACACCAGCAAAATTGTCAGAATACAGGATATTTACTCTGCTGAATATAAATGTACGCTTCAGTACATGTTTATCTTGTTCGTTTCATTAGTAAACTGGAACCGACAAAATGGTCGCAGTAAGCACTACGTCAGAATTTACTTGTAAACCAGTGATAATGAGCTGGATGTTTACTAAGGTTCATGTGCTACATTTGCCGCCGATTGTCCGGGTTTCGAATTGAAATTATTTGAGCGCTCCCCCTAAGTGGTCACTTCCGAGTAAGGCCACTTTGGCCGTTCTTTGTGACCAACGGACAAAATACCTTTGCTTTGTGTTAAGAAATTCTGCGACCTGATTTAGCTGCAGATTAAGCTGAAAGGACGAAATAATAACTTTTGAAGTTTGAATAATGGCTAGGAGCAAATCACTTCATCTGCAAGGGTTGTTTGCCACAGAAGAAACCAATGGGGGTTGAAACCTTCAAACATTTGTTCAGAGAGATGGGCCAGCACCAGCTCCAAATAAAGAATCCTCAGATCAAAAAGAAAGTAGTTTCAAGATGTCGCCGGTCTTCTTTGAAGACCTCTACTTCGCTTATATTCTTGGAGCAATAAACTCGCAGCGTTCTATTTTCCAGCTTACTTGACCAGACTGGTTAGCCTTCGAAATACTGGCGCTATCTTTGATAAGTCACATTTGAGTGTGAATGAGCAAAATGCTGGCAACAAAAAGGAATCACAGGGTCATCAGAGATTAATTTTGTCCCGACTATTTTGTGAACTGGTTTCATGTTGCCGTCCGAAATTTCTTCTGTTAAGGACTAAAATAGGTCGTGGCCGCTTCACTAGAAGGTTTAGATTAGCCTGCGGACCGCATCAAGGCTGCACTTGATCTTGATGAGAATTTTAGCCAAAAAATTGGACTTACCAAGGGTTGGAGCTTGAAACTGAGACCCACTTCTTGCGAAGGAGGATTCTTAGTTCTCTGAGTGAAACACATATGTGTTGGCCGGCAAAAACATTACAATTTATCCTGGTTATTGACGTCAAAAATGAGTCTTCTTTATCCGCCTTCATTTTTTGCGCACAATTTTTCATCAATTTCTATCCCAAGGTCACTTGTCCCCTGAAAAGGTTTTTGATTCCCACAACCGGCTGATCTAATTCAGGAAGTCGCTTCCGTCAATCACGAGCAGGTGAACGAAATGATCAACTTTGCTGCGACGTAAATATGATTTGGCTGGATTCATAGTTTATGACGCCACGCACTTTTTGCACTTATTCTGATCACCTGTCATTCACACATGAACACAGTCAATTGAAGCAAGTGGTTTAAGGTTCATCGATAAATTACATTACAGACCGTCGGAGTCAATCGAGAAACGTTGCTTTACTACGGCTAGGACGCACATATCCGTATTTCTTAGTAGCGGTTTCCACTTCGCTCAAACCGAATTCACACGTCTGCAGTTCAAATGATTGTCAGTTTGGCTGAATTTCAAGCTTCCATCAAAGGATATCGACAAATCGGCAGATGATGCTGAAAAATTTGGTGGAGGAACAAGGCCAGTTGAAAGCTGACCGCTGCAAAATGATCAAATACCCGAGAAGCAATGAACAAGACACCATTTTCGCAACCATTCAGGAGCGTTCCGTATAAGTGCCTCTCAGATACTCAGAAGCTCATCGGTGATAATACTTCGGATAAAAACCAGCTTGTGGAAAACAGATCAACAGATATGTGAACGTTTTGAAGCTCTGTGCTCAAACCACATCGGTGGGATATCAATATTCGAAGCCTATGCAAACATTACCCCAAATAAGCGCCGTGCCCCCAAAAAACACAAGGTCGATGCCCCACGAAGAGCAGTCGAGTGCACAAACAACTCAGCCTACCACAAAGTTGCAGGTTGGTTAGTCAAATACCTGGGCCCGCAAACCAAACGGTTATCTCTTCCTTGTTTTGAGGAGCCCTCTATATTGCCACACAATCCGGTTAACATTGCAGCGAGTTCCTCGAGGTTATTTCGATTGACGAGACATTAGAGATTCTGTATTAATTATCTCTCAACATTATATGAATCTAGGCTTCTTTACTGATTACTTTGAAGAATTCATTTTGTTGAAGCAATACTGTATTGTGTTTTGAGGAACAGTTGCATAGGTAAGTCAACCATTTTGCTATGGGCAGTTTTTTGGCCTCACACTAGCGGAGGATTTTTGTGGGACGAGTAAGCAAAAGGCTGTTAGTGAAATCTCAGAAGTTGTCCTATGAACGATTTTTTGTGAAATTTTCCCCATTACTGATTGAAAGCGTTTTCATTCCCTCTCTGATACCCTTAATTCAACCCAACCTAACCTTCGTCTGTGTCTGAGTGTTGACCAAATGACAGCATACTCACCCACAGGTCCGTGCAACTTTCTGTCTAACGCAAGAACACTTGCAGCGTTTAATTTTCACTGTTCACTAGCTGCATATCGATAGCTCGTATGCGCTTGTATACCTGATCAAATAGTGAAAAATGAGGAATTCTTGAGGAAAACCTGGCTGCAGAACGGCTATCGAGAACGTTTAATTGAAATCCATAGCATAGTAGGAATCTAAACAGCCCAGGTCCGGTAGGCATGCACTTGTTTCCTAATGTCATGAGCGAACACCGACCACAGACTCAAGGTCAGTTCTGCGTTGAAAAATGCTCACACTGCCACAGAGCTGAGTCTCACATTGACCACTAGGTGGTGGTGGTGCACAGGTGTCAGCCTGGACGTTCATCTGTTTTTAATTAGGACTACTAGTGTGAGGAAGAAGGTCTTCGCTGCGGAGTTGTTTATTAGAAATTACCAACTGACCAGTTACAGACTATTGGACAGGTAAGCAAAACTCCCATTTGCATCTTATTTACAAAAACTGAACATCCATCTTCTGTCACTTCGCGTCGTCCTGAACTTTCCTGGATATTCATTGACTGTTGCTCAAATCCAAACAAATGCTAAGGCGACTCCACAAATTCCGCAACAGATCTCCTTTTTAAAGAGACGCAAAGCAAATTTACAAAAAGAAAACATACTATTCGCATGCCTCCTCCATCCGTAGTATCACCGTTACACCATTTCTCCTACAGGTGCTGCGACATTTAAGACGGCATGGCAGATGAATACCTGGCCGAAAAGACAGTAGAATACATTCCAGTGTAATTCAAATGCTGTCAGGAAAACCGTCGGGTCACTGGTCAAATCGCAATCCTCTGTCACCAATGACGGGAAGCCGGTAATCGTAATGACCCCACCAAAGCCTTTCGAATCCTAAACTGCAACACAAATCCTAAACCTTTGGCAATAAGCGAGACTGCTTATCAAACTAGTCTGTAATGCTAAAAAAAACAGTTGAGCCAAAGAACTTGTTTACCTAGAATTGATCAGCTGACCCTCAGACACCAGCCGACCAACGTTCAACGGTGTTTCTATTTTCACTAATACAGCATGCATGCTTTTCATCCACAAATAGAAAGTGTAAAATAAGCGCCAAAATATCGCAGTACATGTCTTCTGAGATGAATAAGGGATCAAGTTTGCTTATTGTGACTAAATGGGTCCTTAAGCTCAATGCTCAAATTCTTCTGAATAAATATATATCACAGTTCGTGCTAGAAGGCGATGATTTTTTTCTGTTCCTAAACACGTGCGATCCCTGTCTATTAGAGCTTTTTTCAACCAATTTTCCGGCTTCACATGTGGTTTTCGCGCAGCATTGTGGTAATCCAGATGTATCCCACCACTCGTTGGGATTCTCAATATACGACTAAGTAAGTAATTTTATGGTGGCTAAAGCTTGCTTGACCTTCCTCCCACTTGTAAAAATGAAATTTAACGCAATGCTGAAATCTTTTTCTACTAAAATCACGCAGTCAATTCTAGTTAGATACCCTAGTGATACTGGCATCATGGTTCCTCTATGTCGCACAGTCTCCTAATGCGTGATTTTGGTCTACCTCCAAATTTGTGGTAATGCCTCTACTAGTAAACTATATCCTGTCTTACTACCACCAAATCGGTATTCGCGTCACTAACAGATACTCAGACCA